GGTGAGGTTAGGTCAGGTCAAACAATTCTGTAATATAACAACTTTAAAAATACACTGAAATTACATCACATAATCAGAAAGTTTTATTTACATTTATATTATTTATATATATATATATATATATATATATATATATATATATATATATATATATATAAAAAAAAAAAAAATTATGAGATTAACGATAATAACACAACACATTTACCTAACTTTTCACTGTAGTATTTGACATCAGAAAATACATATTCATCCTTTAAAAAATACAGAACACAACACAATTTAATTAATTAACGATGAAAAACAATAAAAAAAATTCATATCTCGACACAGAAGATAATCAAGTTAATTAAAAATCAAATTAATTTTATATTTAACAAGAGGCATATATAAATTGTTTGTGGTGGGCTGTGGTAGCCGTCCCCCATCACTTGTAGTAGCAGTATTTATTTGTTTTGATGTGTGATTTGTAGTGTTTATCTGTTCACTCAAAACCACCAATATTTACACCACACACACACACACCAACTCATCCCTGTGTGCCCGGTGACGAAGGACTCAGGTGAGAGCAGGTGAGGAACTTAACCGTGTGAAGCGCAGGTAAGATCCACGTTGCCAAGTTAAGTGGAGTGACAAGGGGTGTTTGTTACAGGTGTGTTAATAAGGTATTCACGAATGAAGTTTCCTGTCGGGAGATAGTTGAATAATTATACCAGAAAACCAGTAACAACAACAACAACTGCACTAATAATAATAATAATAATAATAATAATAATAATAATAATAATAATAATAATAATAACAATAACAATAATAATAATAATAATAATAATAATAATAATAATAATAAACCATAAGCAACACTGATCAAAATGGAAAAAAAAAAAAAAAAAAAAAAAAACTAACACAACAACAACAACAGCAGGTAACACACCACGTCATAGGCACTTCACCCAGAGTGCCACGGAAGGAGGCTGAGGGGAGTGGTGGGCGGCACCTCTCTACTACCCACCTACCACTCCACCGGCCTTGCACTCCCTCGCCTACATTAGGGGAAGACAGGAGTAAAGTGGTCCACATTGTGATTTTCCGCGACCCTGACAATGAAAGCGATACGGAGAGAGAGAGAGAGAGAGAGAGAGAGTTGAATATGAACGTCCTCTCATAAAGGAACGGACCCAAGGAGAGAAAGAAGGAGGAAGAGTGACTCATGGTGGGCGCCAGCAGGGTATTGTTGACGTCTGAGATAAACATTCAATACACAAACCATCTCTCTTCTCTCTCTCTTCACCATTGTACCCTCCTGCTACCTCTTTTTTCCTCCTCCTTTCTCTTTCTCCTTTTCTCCTCCTCCTGTTACTTCTCCTCCTTCACCCATTTCCTCTCCTCCTCTCTCTCTCTCTCCCTCTTCTTCCCATCTAACTACCTGATCGTTAACTACCTATCAGCATGGTTGGCAGTGACTTTACAGCACATTTCCTGCCCATTACCTTTACCTGATCAAATTTTCCTCATCCTTGTACCGTTGATGACATACTGTATACGTCACTGACAGGTGTTACACAGGTGTTACACAGGTGTTATAGGTGTGATACTGCCCCTCACACAGCTGTTCAACAGACTCATTTCCAGAGTTCAAAAATGACACTCCTAAAATGTTCAAATCTCTATTTACTTGTAACTCTACCTGCCCTTACAAACTCTACCTGTTTTTCTAAATTAGGATTCTTAAATATCTATAACTTTAATTACAACAGGTAATTAAGTATTTATACCTGTACCCGTAGTAATTTGTGTATTTAAATCATATAATACCACACTGGTTTAATCTTCAGTTGTACTTGTATTTCTTAATTAATATATTTAATTAGTATTTACACCTGTGCTCTTCAAATTCAGAATAAATAAAATATAATAAGAAAGACCAGAACCAGGTAAAACACACACACACACACACACACACACACACACACACACACACACAGGTCAAAGATGATATTCACACAGCCTCATTTGCATACTGACAAGGGCAGAAGCGTCTCTCTCTCTCTCTCTCCACACACACACAACACAAGACTCCTTCACTCACCCTCAAAACCTATTTTCTCTTTCACTTCTTCATTTTTATCCTCTCACTTGACGTCCAGTTCAATTTTCTGCTCGAGGCTGAGGTTGACGGGCCGGGGAATGGGGGGGAGGGGGAATGGGGGAGGGAATGGGGTGGGGGAATGGGGAGGGGGGTTGTCGAGCATTGAGTCTTAGTTTTAATTTTCGTCTGACTGGAGATGTGAAGCCATTTGGTATCTGAAGGTTAACTGTACAGGTGTAGATACAAGTACAGGTGTAGATACAAGGACAGATGTAGATACAAGTACAGGTGTAGATACAAGGACAGGTGTAGATACAAAGACAGGTGTAGATACAAAGACAGGTGTAGATACAAGGACAGGTGTAGATACAAGTACAGGTGTAGATACAAGTACAGGTGTAGATACAAGGACAGATGTAGATACAAGTACAGGTGTAGATACAAGTACAGGTGTAGATACAAGTACAGGTGTAGATACAAGGACAGGTGTAGATACAAAGACAGGTGTAGATACAAGTACAGGTGTAGATACAAGGACAGATGTAGATACAAGTACAGGTGTAGATACAAGGACAGGTGTAGATACAAAGACAGGTGTAGATACAAAGACAGGTGTAGATACAAGGACAGGTGTAGATACAAGTACAGGTGTAGATACAAGTACAGGTGTAGATACAAGTACAGGTGTAGATACAAGTACAGGTGTAGATACAAGTACAGGTGTAGATACAAGTACAGGTGTAGATACAAGTACAGGTGTAGATACAAGTACAGGTGTAGATACAAGTACAGGTGTAGATACAAGTACAGGTGTAGATACAAGGACAGGTGTAGATACAAGGACAGGTGTAGATACAAGTACAGGTGTAGATACAAGTACAGGTGTAGATACAAGTACAGGTGTAGATACAAGGACAGATGTAGATACAAGTACAGGTGTAGATACAAGTACAGGTGTAGATACAAGTACAGGTATAGATACAAGTACAGGTGTAGATACAAGTACAGGTGTAGATACAAGGACAGGTGTAGATACAAGTACAGGTGTAGATACAAGTACAGGTGTAGATACAAGGACAGATGTAGATACAAATACAGGTGTAGATACAAGTACAGGTGTAGATACAAGTACAGGTGTAGATACAAGGACAGGTGTAGATACAAAGACAGGTGTAGATACAAGTACAGGTGTAGATACAAGGACAGATGTAGATACAAGTACAGGTGTAGATACAAGGACAGGTGTAGATACAAAGACAGGTGTAGATACAAAGACAGGTGTAGATACAAGGACAGGTGTAGATACAAGTACAGGTGTAGATACAAGTACAGGTGTAGATACAAGGACAGATGTAGATACAAGTACAGGTGTAGATACAAGTACAGGTGTAGATACAAGTACAGGTGTAGATACAAGGACAGGTGTAGATACAAAGACAGGTGTAGATACAAGTACAGGTGTAGATACAAGGACAGATGTAGATACAAGTACAGGTGTAGATACAAGGACAGGTGTAGATACAAAGACAGGTGTAGATACAAAGACAGGTGTAGATACAAGGACAGGTGTAGATACAAGTACAGGTGTAGATACAAGTACAGGTGTAGATACAAGCACAGGTGTAGATACAAGTACAGATGTAGACAAGGACAGGTGTAGATACAAGTACAGGTGTAGATACAAGTACAGGTGGGCACAGGTGTAGATACAAGCACAGGTGTAGATACAAGTACAGGTGTAGATATGTGCACAGGTGTAGATACAGGTGTAGATATAGGTATGTGTAGATACAAGTACAGGTGTAGATATAGGTACAGGTGTAGATACAAGCACAGGTGTAAGCACAGGTGTAGATACAAGCACAGGTGTAGATACAAGTACAGGTGTAGATACAAGTACAGGTGTAAGCACAGGTGTAGATACAAGCACAGGTGTAGATACAAGTACAAGTGTAGATACAAGCACAGGTGTAGATACAAGTACAGGTGTAGATACAAGTACAGGCACTAAATTAACTTGAATTAATTATACTGAAAATCATAGTTAACTGAGACACACACACACACACACACACACACACACACACACACACACACACACACCACTCCTTCGCTGACATTCATCCCCTTCAATTCTATTTACAATCAACAAACAACAACAATTGAACAGCTTATTGAAACTCTCCAGCTTATACTTGTAACAAAAAAAAATCACTTTCCAAACATTTATACAGAATAATGTAGAGATGCATGTTGTGTGTGTGTGTGTGTGTGTGTGTGTGTTTGTCAGCTTATACAGTAGGCTACACAGTTACTACATCAAGTACAGGTAAATACAGGTACAGGAATAATTACAGATTGATGAGCTGAAAAATTAATCAAACATAACACTAATCCCACTGATGAGTATACAAACAAAACATTACAAAAACTAAAAGAACACGCATAAAAAAAACAAC